ATTCCTATCATCGACTAAGGATGTCAAAACTACTGGTACTGCATTACCAAATCAATACTGAGAAAATAATAATAACAATAGATATAAAAAAAATATCAATCTTCTGCAGTCTTCTCTCAAATGTGCTTCTTGGTAAAAATGTCCTGCTTTCTGAGATATTAATATATTAAACACAGCAGTGTTAGGGGCAACGCATTACAAGTAACACAAGCTACATAATCAGATTACTTTTTTAAGTAACTAGTAAAGTAACACATTACTTTTTCCAAACAGGAGAAGTCAAAACAAGAGTGCAAATTCTGCGACCCACTCTGGTGCCAAATCCCTACAAAGTGATGTGAACAATGAGTCTGCGACAAATCTGGATAAGCATGAACAGGATCATAAGAGAGATTTGCTACAAAGCCTGACAACAGATAATGTTATCTGAAGCAAATCTGACATTTGCACAAGCTGTTGAAACAGCTCTCAGTATGCAAACTGGGGACCACAACTTGAACTACTTAAAATTAAAATAAGGAACATGACAAAGCCTGAATAGAGTGTAAATATAATCATGACTTTGCTAGAAGGTTGTAAGCAAATAGTTTGATGCTCTAGCCTATACCTGTACTAGTATCTCATGCATAGCTTCAGAGATTATTCTACAGCGCTTTTGATCTGATATATGGAGTCTATCCAGCTTAATCTTGCAAAGAATTAAGAAGAATTTCGTTAAGGCTCACAATGAAGTAAGTCACTGACAATCCCTTCAGGAAGGACAAAAGATCCCTAAAAAGGCTGAGACGTTTCCAAAAATGCAGGCTCAGGGTAAAAATACAAAAAAGCCCAAATGTGATATTGGTAATAAAGCCAATGTCAAAAGAACTACATATTGTGCATTAGAATATGCTGATGATGCTGATGCAGTGCATTTTTTAAATATCACAGGGAAGTGTTTCCGCGGAGGTCTTCAAGTAATGAGAAAGTTACAACTAAAATAACTATACCTGACATTGTACAATGTGGAAAGACCAAAAATACAGGCCCACTTTTTAGGTTGAGTTAGTGTGGGAATATAAAAAGATGGCAAGCTGAATAGTAGACTATAGGAACCACCTGTACTTTGACCTCAGGTGCAGACAGCATGGGCTCATTCCTCTCAGCTTACTCCTGAGGCCTGTGATGAAAGATCACAAGACTAACAACTGGACATGTGTCCTTTAATATAGCACATGGATATACTAGTGCAGGGGTGGGCAAACTTGGCCCTTCCAGGCCACTTTCCTTCAGAGGTTAGCTCCAACCCTAATCAAACACACCTGAACCAGCTAATCATTGTCTTCAAGACTACTAGAAGGCTACAGGCAGGTGAGTCATATCAGGGTTGGATCAAATCTCTGCAGGAAAGTGGCCTGGAAGGGCCAAGTTTGCCCATCACTGTACTAGTGTCTACAACTTAGACACTATAATGCAGGGGCAAGAACACCAATAGCTCCTAGAACACTCTACCAAGAGGATAATGATCTGGCAAACTCTTTGAGAGGGCACTCTTCCAGTGAAAGTAATGACCTGCTTGTTTGGAACTGACACTTTTGTAACTTTTGCAACTTTTTTTCCGGGTTGACTGATGAAAGCTTGTACGCTCTAACTCCCAGAGAATGAACAGAATCAGTTCGATCAGACCAGAGCTTGCCTTTTCGGACAGTTCTTGCCAGTTTTGAGTGCAATATGGATTAGATGGTTAATGAATGGTCGATATTGCACGAGGTAAGTCATTAGTAACATAACTCTAACAGCTTTCAATGCACTGTGTCTCTCCTTGAGACTAGTCTTCCTCAAGGTATAACGTGACATTGCCAGGCCACCGCAAAGACCAGTGACCGTGACCGTGACCGCAGTCATAGCCTAGAGCAGCCAAAAGCTTTGACTTTATACATTGTTTCAGTTTTTTTTTTCTTGAGGCATTTTACCACTGTTATCTTCTGCTTACCTGACTGATCATTCTCCCCACAGAATCTTGTCGCAAAGCCTGTATATTCTATCAGTTTCTGTGAATCTTTCATTTTAGACTTGTGATGTTGTTAGACTCAGCACTGATGTTCCCATATGCAAACCCAATGACTTGGAATCATGGGGGGTTGATGAGACGTCACATAGAGACAGCAGATCACTTATTATGGACGGTTATTTTCAGCACAATGAAAATAACTCTTGTGATGGCATAACAACAGTCTGAGATGAATGTTTATTCATTCTCTGTATGCATGAAGGAATTTCACATTTCCACCAAACAAGGTATATGTTACCAATCGTCACATAAACTGTACCCTCAATATAGCACAACTATTTATGACATATCATTAACAAACACTTCTCAAAATTTTCAAACATCTAACCTCACAGACTATTGGGTTTTCCCCATCGATATGTGCTATACTGACCTTTCTGAAGACGAGAGGACTAACTAGCTGTCTCTACTTCCAAAAAGACGACACTTCTGCAGATGCCTATGAGAATGCCCAAGATTATGGGGAGATAGAGGTTCATTAAGGGCACTTATTCTGTCAAGGGAGTCGATGTGGTGGCCAGTGTTGGCAGCAGTTCCGTAGTAGAAGATGATGGTGTCAAGTCATCTTTATTTCAAAGCAGTAATGCAAACTTCATGAGACAAATTCAAATTCTGCTGTAAAGCAGTTCTAACAAGCCAATAATGTCATTATTCAGCTCAATTCAGTTTAAGTTTTATTCAATAGCAGTGTCAGTGTTCATCAATTATGAAACAACTTCAGTTTCAGCTATAAAGCAGCTCTACAGAAGACAACAGTGCCATTATTCAGCTCAATTCAGTTTAAGTTTTATTCACACTCGATAGTGTCAATGGCGTCAAATCAATACAAATGACTGAATATTAAGTGTTTTTAAATTAACCCAGGCTCATTGAAAATACCAGTGAGTGGAGCTAAAACATGCATTCAGTGTGTGACTGTGGCACATTTTTATTACGTTGCTTCAAGTACGTATTGCAGTGGTTTAGAATTCAAATGTCCAGGGAGAGTCGCTAAAAGGTTAATGCTCTATCGTGTCAGAAAATAACATAACCCTACACCAAACCCAACCCTAAACCTACCCGATAATGTTAATGAATGCAAAAGTGATTAAAAAATGCATTCACTGATGCAACCTTGCTATATTAACTTATACGTGGGTTTGAGTTGTTTTGTCTAACCGTAGTTTAACCGGATTCATATCGGAACGCTTCACCTCACAAGTGCAACACGGTATCGCGTGAGCTACCGAGGGTTATAAAACCCATACACATATGAAGCTGTATATGTGATGATAACACTCAAAAATATCAGTTTTCAAATCTCTCAGCAATTGTTTTGAAGTCATAACATAATATTTGGGATTGTGCAAAAATGAGGCTTTCTTAATCAAAACTCTGGCCCTGTAAATCATAATTTGTGTGAAAAGACATAAAAGTTGTTGGAGTTTGACTGTCTCTAGTATTCATTCCAATTGGAAACTACAGGGATTTATATGTATAGGTACACTTTTTGAGTTTTGCAGAAACATAGGTACGTATGAGCCTGGATAGCTTTAAACACCAACTACACAAGCCAAAGGTGACAGTGGTAAGGAACCCATATTCCATCAGGTGACAGGAGCTGGTGTGTGTCAATGCTAGACTTTTGATCCCATTAGCTGGAGCACAAAAGTCCTGGACTTCTTTATCCTCCAGGTAGCAGGTGAGACGGTCACAGTGCATCACCTTCCGAAAGCATTTCTTCAGCGGTGCTTGTTACGCCACATCTCCTGTCATAGCATGACGATGCAGGGGCCAAACAATTCCTGTCTGGGTTTAACGACCAACTTCCCTGTCCATCCTGAAACTGACTGCTTTGGCTGTGCCTCTGTCTTCTAATTCGGTCTTGATACCATTGCAGAGTAGGTTGAAGATAAGTCATGATACATACTAGGGCTCTCATGCAGAATGTGATATTCTCACCTCAAGGCATAGATCAAAGATAATGAGTCTTTCCTTATCGCAACAGCAGCCAATTATAGCAAGCTTGCGATTTGTAGAGTCGTCTGTGTACGTCACAGCCACATTTTGGGTTGGTGACACTTACAGAACATACTGTATGTAGGCCTACTGTAGGGCAATGTGACATTTATATTTTTGTATTCACAAACATCAAAAAAGAGCTGTAGTTGTGGACTATAGAATCTTTTATATACAACTTAGATTCTGTGATACACTTTCCCACAGTCCTCTGTGTATCAGATATTGTGTAATTTCCTACTAATTGGACTTTCATAATAGCAGTTCTACTTTTTGAAGTGGCACAATTCATAAGACATATTTGGAAATGCAGTATTTTTTGCATAAACTTTATAGGTTGATTATGCTAAAATTAACCTTGATGATTATTGCTGTGTAATTTGAGTATCGTTTCATGCTCTGTATAATTTGACAGATTGTGATGTTTTCTTGTCGCTATTAGAAAATTATGTTTCAGACAAAATACAAAGTGCTGCTGCATGGCTGTGGTGATTCATCTTGCATACCAGAGCCAATTGTGTGTATGATTAAGACGCATGCATTTCTCCATGCAGTCTCACAACCAATTATCTTCTCTCTTAAATGAGCCCATAAAGGAACACGTCTTCACACATTCACTGGGACAAAGGGAAATAAAGGCTGGTACTATGTCTTCCTCTATGGCACATTTGACAAACAAATCTTTCTAAATTCAACAGCAATGAAAACATCTCAGTTTTCTCATGCGGTAATCTGCCACCAATCACATGTAACCATACCTGGTTGAAGCATAATACATTATGTAAAAAAGCAATAAATCTGAGGAACAGACAAATATTGACATAAGCGAATATGAAAATTTTAATATATACAGTATTTACATAGAAAGAATGAAAGAAAAAAACCAAAAACAAAATCGTCACGTGAACCTAATCTGTATAAAAACTTTAAGCAATAGTAAGAACACACATACCATATCTGTGTCTGATACTGGCCCGAAGCTTGTCACATAGATGTTTGTCCTCACCTCAGTCACACTTTCTGATTGGACAAAAAGACAAAGAAAGAGTATGTGTAAGAGCAGAAATAACTGCTATGTAAAACAAATATTAAATTCATTTTAAAGCTATAAATCTGTAAAGGCAACAATGAGATATATGTCTAATGTCACCTGACCAAACTGAAAAACAGGTCTCATCGCATCCACTTGTCAGAGAAAGTGTTAACAGCAGTATGAACTGATGCCAATATCTATGGAGTTTTAGTGTAGGTAACCTATGACTTTTAACAACCTAGCTAGGTGTTTTTATTGTTGACATTTTATTCATTTTAATAAATATCAGAATGTCTGCTACAATTGCAGCAACTAACCTTACTGAGCAAATTCAAAAAGCATCTATTTGTTAGTAGATGTATATTTTCCTTTATGGTGGCGTATTTGGTTATTTTATTTAGAGAATTCACTGGAACAGAGATTGTCTGAATGAGAAATTGAGCACATATTGCCACCCTGATGTTGTCTATGACTGGGTTCACCACTGACTAGAAGGAAGGATAATACTTTATGTAATGGACTTTAAAGTTGTTAATGGGGATTTAGAGTCAAATAATTCCACTTGGCTCACTACAGCTCCTGGTTTCAGCAAGCATGAAAAAAGATCACAAAATCGCTGATTTTAAGAGTGCTGACAGCAGATTTGCAGATTTTTAGAGTGGGTTAGAAGAAAGATTATGCCTCCCAACTTAGGGTCCAGCAAAGTATTGAGACTATACTGTAAATGCCATTAAAGGGGTCATGAACTGCATCTGTTTTTTAAAATTGTTTATGAAGCAATATTGACCACAAAATAAAAAGTTACTCACACTTGTGTGTTGTGACATTTCTGTCGGATCCAAAATATTCGGCACAGCATTGTCTTTTAGTTTCAATATGTCTGAAAATCATGCGTCGAATTGTGCCTTTTTTGTGAACGAATCCGTGGTAAAATGAAGTGAACAAAGGACCAAGTTCTTACTGACGTGGCCTGGATCTTCATAAAATAAATAAAGTATATTGCTTGGTTTCAGCATAGACCTTTGTTTGTCTAACTTAGTATTTACCTATTACACGTGCAAATCGGTGGGCGGGGCTAAACAGGCAGTGATGTAGAAGCAGGCGTTGATCTTCTTCTGCAGAGGCGGGCTCGTTTTGGCAGATTTTTATACTAATGAGGAACTTTTGAGTTCTGAAACTTACAGAAGTTTTTTAGCACAATGACCTATTATAAATCAAAAGATCAAGGGAATTTAGATTTCTTAGTCCATGACCCCTTTAACTCTTTCCCCGCCAGCATTTTTGAAAAAAGTTGCCAGTCACCGCCAGCGATTTTGATGGTTTTCACTAAAATTTGATGGCCTCCAGAATATTTTGGTGTATGAATGTTTGAATATGCAATACACCAAAATAAAGATCAGAGCCGCTACTTTTAAACAAAAAAAAAATCAGTTTTATTCTAGCTTAAAGCATTCTTTTTTTTAATCAACACTTGAATATAGGTAGGTTTCATAAAAATGCATAATTTTGAGCAAAAAGGTGAGAAAATCTAAAAAATCTAAAACTACATCTGGGTAATATTCAGTACGATTATCAAAGCATAAATCCAGTAAATCGCTTCTATCAACACCTCCAAAGCTTACACAGACATATACCACTTCCTGGATCAACATTTTACTCCGTAACATTATGCGGTTTTCATTTATATGCTGCCATTGCTGATGATCGCGTTATTTTTCATATGCATCGGTTTACATAAGAGATCGCTCATTTCTCCATCCTGTTCACGTGTGTTTTTGTTCGGGAGGTTTTGTACTCGTTCAGAAGATGTGTAATAGCGCCAACAGTGAAAACACGAAAAGCTGTAAAACTCCATCCTGTTCACGTGTGTTTTTGTTCGGGAGGTTTTGTACTCGTTCAGAAGATGTGTAATAGCGCCAACAGTGAAAACACGAAAAGCCGTAAAAACTCGTCTTTGGCGGGGAAGCGTTGTCTTCTAAAAGACGAGATAACTCGTCAATGGCGGGGAAAGAGTTAATCTTTCCATAAGAAAACTTGCCTGAAACGCTTTGTTTGTACTCCTGCCAATATTTCTGTGTCTACGTCACCATGTGTCTACATACACCACAATTCCCACCTACTGGCTGCTTTTGCCCAACTTCAGAAAACATTTGGGGAATTGATTTCGTTATATCGATGAGATACAGATTTTTTTACTGTGAGAGAAAAAACATTGTATGGAGTTCCAATACAGCACCACTTTTTACAGCTGCTCACGATGCCTTGGGGGCTGAAAACTAATGGTAACTGGCATTACATTTCTGACACAAACTCTGAGCAGTTGACCAATTACTACAGACTCGGACTAATGACCAATCAGAGCAGACTGAGCTTTTTATTAAGCCTTATGCTTTAAAAAGACAGGACTTAAAACATAGTGTTTCAGGCAGAGGGTGAAAATAGGTGCCATAGCAATGTATATTATGAGAAAAATCATGTTTTTTTAACTTTAAATCATCTAAGCAGACCCCAAAAATAAAATTGTGAACTTTGAAATGCCTATAATATGTGCACTTAAAAAATGTCCTGTGTGTGGCACACTCTAGGCCTTTAACCATCTGAAGTAAGTCATCAAGTTCCAGTTAGCAACTTTGATGTGATGAGTACTGTAATGCGCATCAGCGACTATGTAAAGCAGGGTGGAAATGGAAAGCTTTGATGGAGCTTGAGGTGGGTGACTGGACGGGAGCCAGGATTGTGGAGACAGCAGGACTCAGGCAGTAGAGGCGATGGAAGCCGTCCAGCTCCACAGTATCAGCCCCGCAGCTCTCAGTGCGCCAATGTGACTTAGCCCATTTATCAAAAGCATACATCTTGATTTTTGACTGCCCACAGCTGGGCTCACAATTCAGGATCTGTACTTTTAGAGGTCACTAGGGATTCACTCTGTGGAGGAGAAAAAATATACGCAGAGGGAGATGGTCTAATGGACATCTGTGGGACATTTCTATAAATGTCATTGGGACGTAGACTATAGTGCATCGATGCTCAGCATTTAATGAATCCAGAATGACCAGGGGATCCGATCAGCTTCTTCATTATGATTAAGTGAGCAATCTGTGGGTGCGCCATCACAGCAGCGGTCAAGACTTTTCTTTATTTTCATCAGCCATCTTCAACTCATGAGGCTCCTGGGGCTCCTTAAGCTTAGGATTTGTAAGCGATCTCAGGAGAGCGCTGTTCTGTGACAGATTTTGCTATTGATAAACATTACAGTGCCAAGAGAAGATGAGTCATTTCACTGTTCCAAAACACAATCTGTCATGGATCTCAGAGGTGTGAGACTTGTGCTAAGAAGTGTAAATATGAAAGACAGACTGATGAAAAACACGCTCCATCTGCAAGCCAATGGTAAGGCCAGCATGTGGACACTGGAGACATTGAGGAAGGAAATGTGTATAGGCATTTATCGTACCTCCTAGTCCGGGACGCAATCTGTTGTCGTAACCATCCAGCAAGCGGTCCAAGATCCGGGTAAAGATGGTGATGTTGTCTTTGCTGTCATCGGGAATGGGCTCTCTGTGACCTGTTACAACCCTGTGGAGAAGAACAAAGAGATTCATTTCTCGTAAAGATAGTAAGGATGCTTTGAAAAGAAGCAAATAGGCCACAAGAAAAAAAAAAAACATAGCAAGAAGGCCACTAAGCAATAAGAGTCTGAAGTCATAAATAGAAGAATGGATAGAGAAGACGAGAGATTGATCTGGTCAACATCTTTGATCTTTCCATCTTTGAACATGTTTTGCGATTGAAGGGTAGGAGATGCAGTCATTATGAATGGGTCCAGGACAGGTCCTACAAAGGAAATATCAGCTTGACTTCATCTAACGATCAAAAAACTAAAGCCTGACCACAATTCAAATGGATCCTAGCTCTTTCTACCATAGACCCAAATTCCTAATTTTCCTTGACTCAACTGACACAATCTCCAAACCTTAAAATTCAGCTTCTTCTAGGAGGTGACTGATTGGTTGGTTGGTTGATTGATTGATTGATTGAAAAAGAGTTTCACATGTAATACTTATTTCATATGCAAATATGTAAACCAATCATAGCAGTGGATGTTTACATTGAAGTCTTAAAGGTGACAGGCCCCTTTAAACAAAATGTTGAAATGAGAGGGCTAAAATCAGGGCAGAAAATGGCCTTTTATTTCTCAATTATAATAGTGCAGTGTTTTATTTTTACATTTTGATTATTTAGTTTCTGTAGTATTTCTTACTTGAATACCACTGCTGCGTATAGACCTGTCTGAACAACATGCACACCAAGTAAGTAGGAAAATGAGTTAAAGTGACAAAAAATAAATAAATAAAAAACAGACAGAATGACAGAGCAGAGGAGTGATAGAACTAATGGAATTCCAAGTGGTTTAGTGAAACCTGTCACACAATTTAATATGGCTTTGCAGAAATCCCAGCTCTGGGATTTGGCTGCATTATATTCCAAAAGTTGCAAATGCATTCTTGAATATTCAGCCAACCCCTGGTTCTTTAATTACCTGGAATATGCAGAATAATTATGTCTTGCTGGGGCTGTGATTCCCCGATGAACAATGCAGTGGCACGATGGAGGGTGTGATAGACAGAAAGCTGATGAGATAATGAGTGCTGTCCTCAATCAAGGGCTGTGCTGGAAGCGACCTTGCGCCAATTACATGCTGACCTATAAAGGCCTTAAAATAGCATGCAAAACAAAAGGTTTGTCAAAAAACACGCATTGCATTTGGCAATGTTTCATAAGGTTTTGTTTAGTCCTCTTGTGGCAGCAAAAACATGACCACGTTGCTGGATAAACTTGTTTTAGACTTTCTTCTCTTTCTGCACAACACTGATTAGTCATTTTTGGAAAGAATGATGCTTCACACCACTGACACAGAGAAAGTGATCCCATATTTCTAGCTGAAATGTCTTTGCACATTTCTCATTACAAAATATAACTGTTATGAAAAAAAAATCATTCAATTTACAATGAAACGGTGAAAAAAAACTATTTTTATAAAGGTTATTTTTTATAAAAGTTTAGTTTCACTATTATTTTTAATGTCTCTTTATGAAGTTTGACACGGTGAATATAAAAATCTATAAACAGTTACTAAAAAGTGAGTCGTCCAAAACTTCAGAAGTGTTTGTTGGATGATTTTTGTCTTTTATGACTAGTCCCACAATGTTCTGGAATGTTCCACAAAGCACTAGAATATTCCAGAATGTTACAGACACTTCTAGAATGTTCCTATCCTTGCAGAAGCAAAATATATTTTAAAAACATGCAAAATTAGTACAAAAAAGTTATCTGTACTAAACCAATGTTTCAGGATTCATTCTAGAAATTCTAAAATTGACCTGACCTAAATATTTACCAAATATTGATGCTACGTGAAAATAAATAGTACAATAATAATTAGTACCACGGAATTACAGAAGAATCATAAAACTTTAAGTGATTTTTTTTTGTTTACATTGTGTCATAATCATACTATCTTGACATAATTATGATCAAATTAACAAGCTGCTCCAGGAAATAATTATATATTAAATACTGTACATGTTGTGCATTAGTTTTACTCACTACTTATGCATATAATGTCACTATAAATGCAAACTAAACAAATAAATATAATAAAATAAAATGAACGAATGAGCATGTTTTATTAATTATTATCTTATTCATATTTTATTTCTTACACCTATTAGTTCACATTAAATGCAGTAGTCAGCAAATATGCTGTACTTGCTTTTATCTTGCAGCACTGGTAAAAAATAAATAGTCTCATAATGCATGTGCTTAAATCCAGTATACTGGACATTGAATATTACTTAGTTTCCTCCAACAGAAAAGCAGAATTAACAGTTTGCTATTTAATATGTAACAATTAGCATCAACAAAATGTTGTTTACTTGTACTTGTTTACTCTGGACTGAGGAGCTTAAAGAGGTTGGAATGAATGATTCTCCTCTTTGCACTTTTGAAAACGGTCACAAGAGCCCATTACAGAGATCATCACACTGAAACATGAGCAAAATCCTTTTTAGTGTTGCAGCATATAACAGAAGCTACAAAAAAACAAGCCTTTCTGTAGTGCCAGAGTGTGTTTAGGAGAGTGTTTGTGAGCTGTATTTTTCCATCAGAGTACTCTGGCATATTTTGTACTGAATCATCTCAAGAGGCTGTCGACTTTATTGTGGAGCTGAAAATGCAGCAGCACGGAGAGGTAAACATGGCGGAACGGCTGCTTTCAGCCAACAGCAAAGGCAGACCAGCCTCTGTCCAATGTTAATTCATTTTCTTTGGGTTCACACCTCCTTGCAGGGAAACCCTGTCTCACCTGAGTGTGGAGGGGCTTAGCTGAAAGCATTGCAACGACTGACTGATAAGGGGCCCTTTGTATTTCTCCCAGAGCTCAACGGCATACCATGTGACTGATCGGTGTGTGTGTCAGCCGGCCGGTGAGGGATCAACCAGACCTGTCAGTGACGTGACATTTTGGAAGCTGATGATCTTCCCACTGTGTTGCGGTGAAGGAGTTCTGATAATTTATTCATTTCAAGAAAGCCACCCAGATGACAAATTGCAGTTTTTTTAAGTGACACTCAAGAGCACCGTTTGTATGCGGAAACTGCATCCTGCCTTCATTGCTGCTCTTTTGAATATCGGCTCATTGATATTAATCAGCTGTAGATCATGCAGCCTCTTTCCGTTTACAGAAACATGGCTGCTCTATTCAGCAAGTGTAAGTGAAAGAACAATGGAAACTGTCTATGGCCGTACTTTCTGTTGTCTGTGTTGAGGAGATAAAATGAGCTAATGCCTGATTAACTGGGGAGACGGGCTGAACATTGTGGCTCTTCATGGTGTGTCTGCACATTGCAATTTTTTGTATTACTGAATTGAAGCTAATGAATGGCTGTTACTTGCCAGAGACGCTCATCCTGTGAAGATGGCCATTCAGTGAACTCAAACCAGAGGTTTATTAGTGGGATTCATGAGGCTGCGATACAAGTCCTCCTTCACGTTTGTTTGCCAGCCTCTCCAGCAGGTTTACGTAACCCTGTGAAGGCAAATCTTTAAAGGTAATTTACAGCCCATTAAAACAAGCAGAGGAGGATGAGAATGAATGCACGGTAGGGCGAAAGTGAAGTATGGAGCGATTGCCAAACGAAAAAAATACAGCTGAAGAAAGATGATACAAGCTACCGAGTTTCATTCCCCACGCATCTCTACAATACAGTCCTAAAGGAAAACCTTGGAGAAGTTTCTCTTCAAATGCATTCTAGGGCTCTAGCCTTCATTGTCGACCTCAAACAAGTACTTTCAACGCGGAAGTAAGCAGTTTTCTGTGAATGTGCGAGAATTCCAATTCATTAGCCGCTATAGGAAAATAACGAGAAGAATAACAATGCGCAGTAAACGGTAAAACGTTTTGCACTACAAACCAGTGTGTTCATAGTTAAGATAATACATTGAAATAATATAATAAGACACACCAATTTGCAATATCAAGCAGCAAAATTAGCTGTTTTGTACAGCTAACATAAGCTGGAAGCAGATGACACCGGAAGCCAAACCTAAAAAATTGACAATTAATGGCCGCTCTTACTGGAAAAATATGGTGGATAAGTTTCCACTGGCGCTGTGACCTAGTGGTTAGTGAGACATGGAGCTCAAGTAGTCAATCAAGTCTGGCTCCTATAATTTTCTTGTCTTCTCTCAACTATTAATATCAATTATAAAATAATACAAAAATACGTTTATGCAAATTTATTTGTCTGTCTGTCTTTATTTAATGACTTTTTACATTTTTGAGAAAATGTGAATGGATCTGAATGCTTTTCACCATGTTGATATATGGTTGCCAGGGTGTTCTGGATGGTTCCAAAGGCTCTCCTAAGTGGTTTCTAGGATATTCTGGGTGGAGCTATGCGGTTGCTTACTGGTGCACAGAAACGGAGCCCTTCAGGTCTCTAAGGGCCTGTTTACACCTGGTCACTACATGCGTTTTCTCCGAAACGCTCAAACCACTTAAGGAGGTCCAGACGAAACTGGACAAGTGTAACTGCATCTGGTTGTTGAAACCACATATATAAATTTTACTCCTCCCAAAATGTGAAAAAAAAAAAAATGTGTGAGAGCATCTTATAGGCTATATTACATGTTATAATCAGATATGACACCGGTAATGCAACACGCATTGCCGTGGATGAGTAGCTGAGTATCTCTTCAGCAAGCCGACGTGCAACTGCCGCAAATGAAAATGAGAGTAAGATGCAGACACTCAACACACAATCATTCATTAAAAGTAGGACTAACTTATCTTTCCAGTACTGATGCAGCTCTCTCTTCTATTGTGGTCTTTGATCTTGAAATTAGCTGATGATGAATAAAATGCAGCACATATGTGACCCTGGACCACAAAACCAGTCTTAAGTCGCTGGGGTATATTTGTAGCAATAGCCAAAAATATGGGTCAAAATTATTGATTTTTCTTTTATGTCAAAAATCATTAGGGCATTATGAAAGCGTATTTATTCAGCTTTCAG